GAGAGTTAAAAATTGAGCTTTCTCAAACTAACGTTTTTCGTTGACAATTGGAAAGATTATATTGAATTAATTGCTCGTTCTGGTGCTAGGAAACTTAGTCTTACCATTCTTTAATTCTTTGAATATTGCTACCATATATGGTTTGGTATCCTTGCTATGTATTAGAGATCCTTGATAAAATACAAAGAAGCATCTGCAATGTTATTAGCCCTATTCTAACATCTCGGCTCCAATCACTTTCCCACTGCCCTAATGTATCTTCCCTGTAACTTTTCTATAAATACTTGGATGATAATTATTCTGATGAACTTTCCTCTATGGCACCTAGACTTTATGAATTCAAGCGCAGTACTAAATTGACAGTAAGATCTCATTAGTTTTCAGTTGAAGTGGGTTATCTCATCAATTTACAGTTGAGCTGGCTAAATGTAACCGTAAGTTCTATGCTAACAGTTTCTTCTCCCGCACTTCTAGCTTGTGAAACTCTCTTCCTGCTTTTTGCTTTCGAGTCAAGTTTATTTAAATGCAATCTCAATCGTTATCTTCCCCCTTCTTCATTCCTGTTCTTTTATTGTTCTCGTTCCTTAATGTTTTTGTTTTTCTCATATTGTTTCAAACTCAGTAGCCCCACCCTGCGTCTTAGTGGCTTTATTACCTTGCTTGAAATGATTAAAAAAATTAAGCAACTTAATAAGCGGAGACAATATATAGTCACGGGGCGAAATACCCGTCTATGACGAGTATGAGCATAATACTACTACTACTACTAATAATAATAATACTATTACTAATATTAATAAAAATACTACTACTACTACTATTACTACTAATAATAATACTGCTGCTACCAATAATAATGTTACTACTATTATTGCTACTACTATTTCTAAAGATACTAATTCTTCTATTACTACTACTAATAATAATATTATTACTACCGCTACTCCTGCTGTTAATAATAATATTGCTGGTACTGTTATTACTACTAATAATAATAATATTCCAATTCTAAAAGGCGTTTCCACTTTATATTTTTTTTCTTCTATTGCTCATTAATGCTCAGATTGAACCCGAAACAGCACAGCTCGAGCGTACAGTGATTGGCTTCCTTTCGATAAAATCAGCATTGAAAATAGTATAATGCTTTTAAAATGGGCGTTTTTTTAATACGAGTATTAAGGTAGAATATTCAGTTTTATGGATATTCATACCTTTAAAATTGTATGCTGTATGATAATGAGGTACAAAAACGATAAAAAGGCCATAGAAAATTTCATAACCTAAATACATCGTATTATGCCGAACAGACAAAAAATGGTCTGTTTCTCTTGTTTCTATCATTCTTTAACCATGTTAACCTTATTTGATAGGCGAGGCCTAAGCTACATCCCGACCCCATATATGAAACAGTGACTGTGACTTTACACCAGATATTTAAAATGATGAGACACAAAAATCGATGAAAAGGTCTTAGCAAGTAAACGCCTTTTGCAACCGACAAAGATCTGTTCCTCTCAGTCATTCTGGGTGAGCACCCTACCCCATTTGACCAGTGACGCTTAAAAACAACCTCCCGATAACTGTAGAGCATCTTACGTCAGTTTAAAACAAGCTCCTTACTCTTCAAAGGGTCCATAATGTAACCGATCCTGACTTAACATCTCGACTTCAGTCATTTTCTCACCGACGTGATGTGGCTTCCCTCTGCCTTTTCTACAAATATTTTCATGGCAACTGTTCTGATGAGCTTTCCTCCTTGGTGCCTCATTTGCATGAATTGAAGCGTTCTACTAGACTTCCAATTAGGTCTCACCATTTTACTGTTGAACTAGCTAGATGTAACGATATGTTATTTTCTAATAATATCTTTTATCGCACTTCTCGCCTGTGGAAGTCCCTTCCAATTTCTTTCTTCCCTACCACCTACAATATTCAAACATTTAAATGCAATGCCAATCATCATCTTCTGTTTTCGCGATTCCCGTTCTTTTTCGTCCTTTCTCCTCACTAAAGTTTTCTCATTGTCTTTTACTCCCAGTAACACCTTGCATCCTAGTGGCATCATCGTTTGCTGGGGGTGAAATGATTACAAAAATCATTACTAATATCTAGTGAATTGTTCTACTAAACTTTCACTCAATACAAATCCCAAGAGCCACTTGAGGTAGAGGTTACTGAATGCGGTTGTTAGGATTGGCGTAAGAAGGTCGTAAATATATATTATGTGATAGAATAAATATAGTTATAATGCGTGCTCTATTCATGGGATAAAGTGCTAAATATGAGAGATAAAGCGTATGTAAATGTAAATATAATAGTGAACATTGAAGTCAACCCTCAGAGGCGACAGGCTGTTTTATGCTAGACACAATCGTCAGGCCGCGAGTGTTGGATTTTTTCTCGACTATTAATATATATACGGGTTAGTGGTGTATTGTGGGTAATCCATTCTGCCGGTTATTCGGGAGGGAGTAGATTGTTTATTTATTTATTTTCCGAAAATAAAAAATAATAAATGAAAATATAAAACAAGTAAAATAAATTAACCCAAATAAACAAGCCGCTCCCGCCAAAATAACCGCTAGAATAGATTATCCACAATGTAAGACTGACCCATATATAAATAGTCGAGAATAAATCCAACACTCGCGGCCTGACGATAGCGTCTAGCATGAAACAGCCTGTCACCTCTGAGTGTTGACTTCAATATCATGTGATAGATAACGGTTGACACTAGACTTACATTGCTTAAGATTGTAGTTCTCGAAGAAGCATCCGTACGGTAGTCTGTTCCACAAAGCAGCGGCTCTTGGAAGAACGGAATTTCTTTTTTACAAATGGAATAGGAAGGGAATGAGGATGGTTTGTAAATGGCATGACGGTTCTTAAATGTAAATGTCTGAACTGGTGGAACTAAATTATGTAGCCCGTCAGAATATTTTCAATGTAAATAGCGATAGAGTAGCGAGAGGTTTGTTCTGTAGGGAAGAGGGCGTAAGGTGGAAAATAATTGCCTCCTAGGCGGCGTAAAATTGTTTGAACTGTGTCAAGGATAGAAAGAGAGCAAGAGCCACTCCAGTCCAGATATAGCAGCAATACTCCATATTTCATCTGATTTGATTCTTGTAATACTCTATCTTGACAAGATTCAGATCAAACCAAATATGGCAGGTCAGGTACTTTCTGGAACGATATAAGGAGCTGATCATTTTTTTCAGTATCTTTAACAATTTATCCTGTATATGAGTTCCACCTGAGATCTAAGGGTGCACTTGAATTCCAATAAATCTTCAAAACAAAGGCACTCATTGTAGGTACAACTGTTTATCCTGACCCGAGAAAACAAAATGGCTGTTCTGTGATGATTAAACGTTACTGGCGTACCTTCTGTGCTATTGTATATTACAAACCGATTCTTTCCGCATTAAGCTGTGTGATCAATGTCAAAGAAGTGATCAACAGCTAGGCAAGGAGTTTAAAGGGTAGGTTTCAATAAAAGGGTAAGTTGGAAACTTTGTTCAAAACTCGTTTTCTGAAGAAAAAAAAACATGAAGATAAACGCGCTTGCAATAAACAGACATGTTAGGAAATAATATATAACAGAGGTTCTGAAATAACAGTAGATCTGCGGTAAAATTCAAAATTTAAATAACCGGCCGGCCCCGTCTATTCCGGACGCAGGAGTATTTGTAAGTCTAACCATGGAATTCGACTTTTTTTGCGGTAGATCCTCATTAGATACTCCACATCTTCAGCAGCTAAGTGTCATCGTTTTACTCTTGAAATTGATCGATGTAACCGTAAGTTCTATTCTAATAATTTTTTCTCTCGCATTCTTCTCGAATAATCTTCCGACTTACCGCCTTCCTGTTAATTGCAATCTTCAAAAATTTAAATGCAACGTCAACATACTTTTTTTTTGTGGTGGTTGGGGGAGATCCTGTACTTTTTTCCTCCCTTCTCCTCAACAATGTATTCTCAGTTTCTTTTTCAGTGTTGCCTAGCTTGAGGTGAAATGATTAAAAAATATCTTGTACATGATTGGTGTTTCGAAAACATCCACATCTGCGTAATAGTTAACGAGCTAGTTTAATAGACAGTTGTAACCTTGTACCAAATTAAAGAAAGCTTTGAAAATACTTGGTTGTCTCGAGTAAAATACAGATTAGCAAATTATTCAAAGACATATATTCTCACAGGGTGACCAATACTAACGGCTTTGTATGCGACTAAGGTAAGTTTAGTTAGAAGCTTACGATTTACTTTTTATTTCGTCTTCAAGAACAAAAGGTAGTAAAGCAAAGTGAAAAGAAAGGGCTAAATTTTAAGAAGACACAATGTGTGGTTGTCAGAAAGAGGAACAGTCCAAGATGGAAACTACTAATTGGGAATAGCAAAAATCAAGCAAGCCCGAAAATCTAAATGTTTTAGAAGGGATTTACAGAAACAGAAAGGCACTTTGGAATAGCGAAAGATGTCTTCCATAAGCTTAGTGTTAAGAAGCTGAAAAATTTTCTACAGAAACAGAGAAAACACTGCTCAACCTTTACGTAATATCTGTTTTCCTAGATGGCATTTAATACTCGACAATCTCCTCTGAAGATACTTGAGGCAATATAAATGCTGTTCTACAGTAAGAAGTTGAGAATAGAGTGGATTGAATATGTCAGTAACGAGGAGATTTTAAGGAAAATAAAAATAAAAAAAATATTTATACTTGGAATCAGAAAGAGTGGAAATTTCTGGGACACATAATGAGGACAGAGGGTTTGGAGAATTTGACACTCACAGGACATATTAAACAGAATAGGGACAAAGAAAAACAGCGAGTAACTTAGCTAACAAGCTTGCGTAAATAAATGGCGGATCATGGATTTGGAGTGATAACAAAAAATAAACATTAATGTGTGCTACAAAGAATATGAATTTGTCGAGAGCTATGATCGCACACGTAATGGCACATAGAAAAAATCTTTTCACTTCTTTTTTATTTCTTCCAGGTGTTGGATGACTGGGTCGAGCTTGCTCATTCTATTTGTGCCAACAGTGGCATTGGTTATAATGGTAAGTTCTTGCTGTTATTCTTTTCAATACCATTTCTTCCGCTTTCAAAGTTGCAGATTTTTTAGCAGTAAGTTTCCCTGTGTTATCGTAAGACAGATCTTTACCTACAGCCACTAAACCTGAATGGTTATCGGCAAAAAATTAAAAACTCTGAAAAATAAGAGAGACTTGTATATGTGATGCAGACCCCAGCATGAACAATGATGTAAATACTAATAAAATAACTTTGCACGATAACTCCAGAATTTATTGATTACCATAATGGTAAGCTAGAGTTATTAGAACAGAGTGTAATTTTTTTTTTAAATTTCTCGAAGAAATATTAGAACGGATATAAAAAGCAAAGCTAAGCAATTATTAATTACAATAGTCTGCGTTCAATTCCAAGGAAAAAAAATCAAGATGTTAAATGCTGATTTTTCAAGACATATAAGCCCCGTCCACTCGGAAGATTGTTGCAACACGATTTTTTACCTTCAATTTCACCTACTAAACTTAGCCTGTCTTTTTAATGTGGACAACGATAAGTGGTCGATCCCAGTTAAGAGATGTTGAGTATCTGAATATACGAACGGGCACCAACAAAAACAACACTTTGGTTTGACTCGCACTTGATTCCATGGAATGGAAAACCGAAGCAGTACAATGGAGGCGTTAGCCAAATGTCCCGCAGTAGCATCCGAATTGTACTAGCCCTGTTGGCTGGGGCTTCAGAATGAGCCGACTACCTCTCTGCAGGGGTGTAAGACCCCTCCTCCCAATGAGGCGTGCTTGGTATGATGCTAAGCTACATCTGACAGAAAGGCTTCTGATCAGGTTTTGAGGGAGGGTAAAAACACCTCTTAATTGTCGTTGTTCCCAGGTCCACCCTGACCTGGGATGGCAACATCTGTTAGAGTCCCAGCTATGGGCAAATAGTTCACGTCCAGACTGGAGTCAAAACACTATGAAATTGTAAAGGTTTTTATAATAGAAATACCAGCAATACATTTTTGAAAAAAAAAAAACATTTGACGTTTAACAAAAAACCCTCTTTCGACAATGAAACCTGATCTACAAAGTGATTTCTGACAAAGAATACATATTCTATTCATACAAACCTATCCTAAAAATCTTGCACTAAATAACCTACTGAGGATGATATGCCGTAAAACAAAATAAACCAAACCACAAACCTAATTAATTGTACAGTGTAACCCGGATATAAGAGACCCGGATATAAGAGAAACCCGGATATAAGAGAGATTTTCTCTGGTCCCAAATTAGAGCCTGTGTTAATGTATATAAAAATAAAATAGACCAAACCCGGATATAAGAGAAACCCGGATATAAGAGACTTTTTCTCCGGTCCCGACAACTCTCTTATATCCGGGTTACACTGTACTAGGTACGGCCAAGCAGCTGCTTCTTCTAGGAAACTCATCTACTAGCCGAAGTGAGTGATGCAGACAATGCTCATCAATTGCAATCCACTAATCTGCTGTCACTGGTTTTCCTGTATGTTTGTCACGGGAAGCTTAGGGGTCGGTAAGACTTGCTCAAGGCCTTACTTCAACCTAAGAGAGATCGGTTTGCTTCTGCATGAGACGGAGGTATCCCTGCTTAAGCTCGTTTTCAATTCGGATATTTCTTCTACATTTTAGTAGTTACAACCGCAAGGCCAGAGAACAAAGTTTTCCTGGCTATTTAATATATATACAATATTACACAATATATATATATATATATATATATATATATATATATATACATACACACAAAATGCTACATATATATATATATATATATATATATATATATATATATATATATATATATATATATATATAGCAATTTTTCAAGCGTAGCTTAGATCTGGCACAGTGAGGATCGAACTCACTACTTAGTCGTATTTATTCTAGCGAGACAAGCTCACTAACCATTACATCGAGGTGAGTGATTAATTTAATGATTTATTTGCTATTAAAATATGACATGTTTCTTTTCTCACAGCTGAACACCATTGTTCTGGCGATTGTCATTCGTGTTATGCTCAGATCTTTCCGTTCCTCTCATCGAGCAATTGCCGAAGAAACTTCAGCAATAAGGTAAGTAAACGATACTACACAATTACATTTCCCTAAACTGCACAATTTTCTCCCTAAATTCCAATATATTTTTTAATCAATTCACAAATACTTAAGGGGATACTGGAAGTAAAAGAAAATTAAAAAAAATCTTTAGAAGAGCCATAAACCCAATCCTACAAAAAGAACAAGAGATAAAACTTTCATTTTCCCCCCAAAACGGGGAGGAGAATTAACCGGACGATAGGTGAACCTATCTACACGTATTGAAGAAGAAAAATCTAAATAGTAAACAACATTTCTGCTGACGTTAGAAGTGTTGTATTGAAGTAGGCTTCAAAAGGAACCGATAACCCAATCTTAAACTCGAAACAATAGTAAACCTATTCTCCCATTAAAAAAAAAACGGGAAGTAGTGTGAACCAGACAAGAGGCAAATATATCTACTCTTATAGGAGAGAAAAAATAGAACAAAGTAAATAATTAATCAATAAAATTTCAGAGTTCAGACAGAACTATTAGAATTATAGAGTTGAAGTAGACTTTAGAAGGAACCGGAAACACAATCCTAAACAGGAAATAAGGGATAAGCATTTACTCCTGTTCAAAAGACCGGGGTGACGGAGACATTAGAAGTACTAAGTTACTTTAGCGATAGATTGTATATACAATATTCCACTTGAGATCTGGGGTAAACATTTAAGACAAGGAACCTTATTGTGAGTATAGCCATTTATCATAACAGGAGAAAATTTAGTGTCTGCTCAGTAATGAAAGATGTTACTAACTTGGTTTTGGAGGTATTGAATATATATTGAATATATATTTTTATGGTAGAATAAATATCAATATATAAGAGTATGTAAATAATTTTGGCCCAACCAAAAAGACTTGCCCAGAAAAATATTTAAATTTTGTCAGATCAAGATGAAAACTTTTCAACAACCCTTCTAGCGTAAAAATAATTACCAATACATTTTTCGTTACACATAAAATAGCATTATTCTCTCAGGCTTACATTAATTTCTGAAAATTTTCTTACTTATCTCCAACGCATTTCCACGGTGAAATCATTTAGAAAAATATTTAGATCGGAAAGAAAACATTCAGGAATAACTGCAAGTGTTCAGTTAAGTGATAAACGCTTTGTCAGTTATGTCTCCCTCGATTCATTGACAACTAAGACAATAACACCTAATCTGTCCTGCTATTCAACCCATATCTGGGGGTAGAAGAGATGGATTGATACTTTTCCCAATTGTATATGCTCATGTCTCCCTCGATTCATGACTGACTAGGTAGAAGATTTTTCTGAAGTAGGTTGCCGCTTCTTTTTGCGGTAGACTGGTTTTATAGCCAACCAAGGCTATAAGACCAAGTCTATCTCACTATTCAACCCATAGCTGTGGGGAGAAGAGGTGGATTGAAACCTTGCTGGAGACCATAAGTGAATGTATCGACAGGATTTCGAACTCGGCTCTCTGATTTGTCATTCGATACGGTTATCCCTTCCACCACACATCCACTCACAAGTATTAATCGATGAAAATGGTTAACATATATAACGAAAATGTATTGCTAAAGATTTTTACTGTCGAAATGCATTGAAGATCGGAAAAATATAAACGTATGATGATTATTTTGTCTACAATACTTGGATTAATTCTTCAGCATTGGCAAGCAATGCTTTTCTATTGCCAAAATATTTCAATGCATTTCCATTAAACATATAATAGCGTTTTTTTTTCCCCTCGTATCCCTTCTAGAAAATCATAATCACTGACATTTCTTTCTTAATTTTCAACCACAATATCTGGATTGAATACCAAAAACGGTCAAGATATTTCTTTGTTAAGTTGTAAAATTCAGCGGTTAATCTTGTTTTTCATACCACCAAAATTCTTTTTCTTAATACAGAAATGATTAAGCCTACATAGTGGAATGGTGATAAAGTCGGTGAGCAGTAGAAAGCAGGCCTGAAACTACATATATTTTAATGCCATGTCCATTCAATACGTTGGTTATCATGTCTCTCCACAGCTTCCTTTTCTTTTATATATCTATGAAAGTAAGCGGCGCAGTTACCCGTTTCCTTCTCTATAGCCTTCAATTCAGGGATTTTCTTTCACTGGACTTTTCCCAAGGCTAGAGAGTCCACTCTATTCTTCTAGGGCTTATATCCAAATCACGTTGAAAAACCGGTCCCCGTATGATTACCGAAGTTAAGCAACGTCGAGTCTGCTCAGTATCTACATGGGTGACCGTGGAGGAATACCAGATGCTGTAAGCTTGGGTGTGCGGGTGGTGTAATGAATAGTGACTCTGAATTGTTCATCGGATCCTCGTTCCAATTCCCGTTTTGTTCGTTATGTTCACTTACGCGCAAACACCTTTAGAAAAGGTCTAAATCGACCTCTTCTACAACCCCTAGCTATGGGTTAATTATAGAGACTTGTATCACTAAACAATAATTATCTCCAAAAAGATCCTTACAATATAAAAAAAAATATGTCCTGTCTTTAAATAACTTGAAAAGGGTTGATAGACCATAGGAAGCGAATCAATCAATCTATTCTGCTATTTAACCTAGAGCTGGGTTTAAGGAGAAGAGTTGGCTTCATGCTTTTCCATAGGCATTAGCGCAAAAGTGAACCCATCGATTTCGTCTGATTCCATTTTCCGCGCTGATAACGTTACACTATCCACACAGAATATATTTGAATCTATTACCGTAATTATTATTGATTCATAAGTAATTTATATGTTTGGAAACCAATTATAATGATAAAGTATCATTCTAACTACTAATCATGCGCAGGTTCAATTTGGACTACACCAACATACCTTAGTTTTGTACAACAATGGCAGCGTACACAGTGGATTAAAGGTAATATGTTATTCCCTTCTATGACAAAACAGCAAGAATAACACAAGACATTTTTTTGGAATTCGGTTGTTCTGTTCTGCTCCACCCGCAATATTCATCTGACCTTTCACCAACTGATTATTACATTTTCCGACTGCAAAAAAAAGCTTTACTGGAGAAAACCTTGTCTAATGAAAATCAGATTCAAGAGTAAAACCTCCAGAATTTTATTTAAATTGTATCGAATCTGATAAGCGACAACAAATCGCTATAATAGAATAAAATGTAATTGCACTTGATTTTTTTATTTTTTTTAAGAAAAAAGCTGATTGAGAAAAAACGCGGAAATTATTTATAATTCAACCATATAATTGGATTTTTTTTTTCTCATTCCAGAGTTGGTTTGAAAGCAACTGCAGTTCTTCTTCCTTTGTTGGGTCTTACCTGGACATTCGGTTTTCTGTCGATTGATGCTAGTTCCACTTTGATCTTTACTTACATTTTCACTATTCTCAACTGTTTGCAGGTAAGTCACTTCGAAAAACACCCCCACTTTATATTCTGCAGTTCAAGCAAACATTCTAAAGAATGTGTGGAAGATTCTCCTCAAAATGCTACCAATTCCCTCTGTTAATAATGGCGATAAAGAGCACATATCCGTTCATATTTGTTAGCCTAATCTCGAAGGCCATTTCCATGTTACATGATTGTATCTTCCTCGGTTTCTTGTGAATTATGAGTGGGTGACCGTCAAAGAATGATTGTGAACAATATAGTGATATACTATTCGTAGGTAAAGAAAAGTCAACATGGGGTTCACCATAGCCCATTTAAACACGCACACAAATTTACCAGACTCCATTAGAAACATACTAGTAAAAAACACATTAACTCATCCACCTGCAAAAAAAAAAGACTATGCATAAAAGATCGCTACCTAAATATACAATTAGTAGAGTAGAAGACTCAGGCTAGCAGAACAATTCTTTAAAGAAGAAAACAATGATAAATCGCTAGTAAAAAACAAGAAGCGTTATTAGCCGCCAAAAGGTAAAAATTCAACGCTTGATGAATTCTGTAATTACATTTCTAACTTCCCATTTGACAAAATGGAAATGCCACAAAGTCCATCTTCAATAGACAACAATAGAACGAACTAAACGACCTAAAATTGGACAAAAATATTGTTAAAAGAAGCTGGCAAAGGAGGCGCAGTTATTATAGATACAGAACAGTATAGAAGCACCATACACAATATGCTACAAGACGATACATACTATGAAGAAGCCAAGGAATACCAACCTCACAAAGTGATGAAAAACTTATTAATTTAATACACTCATACCGAGACTGTCTTACACTTAAGGAACATGCCTACCTTACAAACATTAGATATAAAACAATCCATTTTTTTATGGACTACCTAAAATACATAAAAGTAAGTTCATTACCGAAACATGCAATATTACAAAGACTGCGCGGATATACCTTCACCAACCGACCTAAAAGTAAAGCCTATAACAGGAAGGCCCAGTATGCGAGGCACACCGTCTAAGCAATTTTGTAGAAACATTGAAACATCACACACGTTCGGTGCTTCATTCAAGATGATCTAGATTTTCTGAATCATCTTCCCAGCGAGATAAACCATTATACTTATATGGTCTCGATGGATGTTGTGAACTTATATAGCAACATGACTACGGAATAGAGGTCATAAAATACTAGCTAGAAACGTTTCCCCATGAGCTACCAAATTATATCAAAGGAAATTTCATCATAGAAAGCCTGGAATTCATCTTAAAAAGAAAAACAATTATTTCATGTTCAACGAAACGCCCTACCGACAAAAATCAGGAACAGCCATAGGGACAAAAGTTGCGCCAATATATGCAAACCAAGTCATGAGATACCATGAATTAAAAATCTATGACAGAACCTCAGAAATCTATGGGAATGACTTCAATTGCAACAGAAAAACTGGAAAAGATATCTAGATGACTTTCATTCTATAGAATGAATGTCTGGATAAACTAAAGACATTCCAAACATCCATTAATAATATAAATCCTAGCATCCAATTCACTATGGAGTAGAGCCACAAAAAAAAAACCTTCCCTTTTTAGACATATTAATAACAAAAACAAACACTAAACTAGAAACCTACTCTCGACAATATCTCCTTTTTACATCTCACTCGAAACAACATTCCCACTCGACCTAGCCAAGCGGATATGTACAATAGTCTCAAACACAACTACGAGAGACCACAGACGAGAAGAGATGAAAAAATACTCATCAAGAGAAAATACCCACAAAGTTTGGTCGACAATAGTATTGAAAAAGCAAAACAAATTAACATCCTCACACTCAGAGAAACAAAAGGAAAAAAAGAAAAAAAAGTCATCCTTATATCTCAAATTTCAACCCAAAGAACACGCATCTACACACACATACAATTAAGTTTACCACTCCTACAAAAAGAAAAAAAAGAAAAAGCCTCTTACAAAAATATCCAATCATAAAAAAAGAAACGACAACCTAAATCACTATAAAAAAAAAAAAATACTAACCAGTGCAAAACTGCAGAACACAAAGACCCTCAGGTGAAAAAATGCAACCGCCCACGCAACTACTTATTAGAGGGCCATGAATTTCAGTTCAAAGACAGATCAAAATTCAAAATTAAAAATGATTTCTCGTGCGACTCGGAGAATTTAATCATTACATTCAAAGTTTGCCACGAACATTACATTAGCCAAAGTGACCAGTCACTCCGGCAAAGGACGACAGTTCATCGCCAAGGAATTAGGGACACCCACACCAGAAAAATACCCCTTAGCTAACATACAGACACAAAATCTGCCAAATTTTAATGTCCTCCCATTCTACCAGTGCGACTACAGATCCATTGAACAAAGGCAGATGAATAAGAAAACATTTTTAATCAACAAGTTCAAACCGATGCTTAACTCACTGCATAAATAGAATCTACCAAATTCCCCTCACCATAAGCGATATATATAACCATTTACGTCCCTTGATTTTCATTTTTCATTGGTACAAAACAATACGCATTAGCACGTGGAGATAGAAACAATTAAAAACTTTTGGAAAAGCTTAGCGAAAACCAGTTAAAGTAAAGAGGAAAACAACAAATTATTTTTCTAAGAAAAAAAAAACACTGAAAATCCAATTTTAAGTAACAAAGTTTTAATTCTTCTCTGTAAAAGTCCATATATTATAAATAAATATCACTATATTAAATATTAGGTGCTTTTTTTTTCCAATACTCATTTTAGTCTATACAGTCAGTTTTTGTACATAATCTTTCTAACAATTTTTTTTTACACACATAGATAGATACTAGTGAGCCAGACAAACCTACCTAGGTTTCACCTAAACGGATCGTCAGGGAAAGTTTAGCCAAACTTTCCCTGACGATCCGTTTAGGTGAAACCTAGGTAGGTGTGTCTGGGTCTGTTCTACGGTTGTATTGAGCTCTTTTGTTAGTTAGTTTTTTCTTTGGGCTTCAGACCTGCATCTGTGCGATTTTTTTGTCGACAGAAGTTCATGTTTGTAGCTCTTTCTTTTTTTTTTAAAACCTTTTTTTCCTTCAAGATTGATTTGATCAGCAAATCAAAAATTCGAGGGTTTTTCGAAACGAGTCTAGTTATCTATATTTTATATATATATATATATATATATATATATATATATATATACACACTTTGGCTTTCTCTGGGACTAGGTGCTAGTAAAACCAGGAAGTGCCGTTATTGATGCAATTTGGCACTATAATCTAGTGTAGATAACCAGGAGAAAGAAAAGTCGAAGTTTCCACTCGCCGTCGAAGTCAACAGACAGTCGATAATATATATATATATATATATATATATATATATATATATATATATATATATATATATATATAAAATATAATTTTTTTAAAAATAAAAAAAAAAAAACAGTAATCGTCCTTTATGTTTAATATCAAATAATATTCCCAACTTTAAATAAAAATTCATAATTTTTAAAAAATTAAAAACCGTAATCTGCGAATAATATATGGACTGCGCGGGAAAGAAGGCAGAAAGGAAGAAGAAAGAAAGAATATAAGCAAGGAGAAGGCGATCTAGGAAGAATGGGAAAAGGTAACAGAAAACGAAAAGAAAGAGAAATGGATAAAGGACAAAAGTCACATAAACGACGAAATAAAGAAAAGTGAGAAAAAGCAAGAAAAAGAGTAAAGACGAAATAAACTAGTAAAAAAAAAAAGAAAGAAAGAAGGAATGAAAGAACGACGAGAAAAGTCAGATAAATGATGAAAAGAAAGATAACGACGGAAATGACAGAGCGAGTAAAAGAGAATAAGAAAGAAAGAAAGGGAAAGATGATGTGAGAATTAGAAAGAAAGTATAAGTAAGGAAAAATGAAAAACAAAGAATGTATAAATAAGAAAAAACGTGAAGGAAAGAAGAATGAATGTATCAGAAAGGGAAGAAAGATCAGCTAGTTAAAGAAAGAGACGATGTAAGTTAGGAAAAATGAAAAAGAAAGTACAAATAAGTAAAAACGATAAAGAAAGAAGAATGAATATATAAGTAATGAAAAAATTAAAAAAGAAACAATGCTTAGATGGTTAATGAAAGAAAGAAAGAAATAAAGAAGAAAAGAGCGATCTTATTTATTTAGAAATTCTGGAAAAATAAAAAGAGACGATGTTAGATAAAAAGCAAAGAGAAAAAGAATTAAAAAATGACGAATTCAAGAGAATTAAACAGACCGTCTAGAAAAAAAAGAAAAAGTGAAAAGAGACGAGATATGTCTGGATTTGGAGAGTGTGACACCAAGAGTAGAAATGTGGGGTTGGCATGTGTAAGGAGGTTTCTTTCCTGAAAAGAAAAATGGCAGATAACAAACATGAGGGAAAATTTGACAAAGACACAGATCGGGGTCGAGACAGAGTCGGGACAGATTATTGATTTAACCTAAAATCTACGACACACAGCTGCTAATTATGTCATTGCAATCCACACCCAAGTATATTTATATGGAGACAGATATATATATATATATATATATATATATATATATATATATATAATGTTTGAGGGGTGTGCTAAAAAGTTTCTCCGCCTGTCAAAAAAGCCTTTCCAAAAAATTCTGATGTTTGATCAGCTGGTTGGATTTAAGGGAATTAAAACATTTCAAAATCTGCTCCTACCACTATACATATATTTTATGTATAATTCTGTTTACAACGATTTTTTTTCCAAAACGTGACCCACATTTTCTTAGTAGCAGCTATAGATATTACATAAAGTTAACAAGACTCTTAAAAAAAAACCCAAGTAAAATGTCTCTGGTTAGCTTTGCTTTTTTAATCATTTCATCGTAAGCAAGGCGATAATGCCACTAAGATGCAATGGGTTACTGGGAGTGAAAGAGAATGAGAGAACTTTAGTGAGTAGAAAGGACAATAAAAGAACAGAGTTCACGAAGGAAGAAGATGGCGATTGACGT